TTCAATATGCTCTTGTTGAAGTGTGATACCAACAGAGTTGAAGAGGCAGTGGGATTTTGAGTGACATTCTTTGTACTTTTCTGTCTCAGAAGGTCTGGAAGTCAAGAATCTGGGCTTGGTAAGAGTTGGCTGCTCAGTTTTACCACAGCTTGGCCTTTGAGGCCTTTTGTTGCTCGGGTGTGCTGAGTGCTGCACGTCCTCCTGTCGCTTACCACAGTAGAGTCGCAGGCTGGTTGCTGCACATCCTTCTGAACAATGATGTGGAATTTCAAGTACTGATACCGTGATGACTTTTTCTGTCTCGAGAAATCAGGATATGTTTTCTTTTCCACAACTAGGTAATTTTCACCTCTCTGGGCACTGCCCTTCTCTATACATAGAGAAACCCAGAAAAATAGACAAGAGAGGAGGGAAAATATGCAGCCAAGTTGTAGAGTCCTTACCCCTATTAATGTTGTGCAGAGAACTGTCCACATAAATTTGGAGAGGTACAGAGATGTAGGTGCCCACTGAGAAAAGCCATTTCTGAGCTGTTTGTCTTCAGCCATTTTCCACCTTCTTTGCTTTCCTCCACCACCCAGTCATCTGTCCCATGAGGCAGTTGGCAAGAAGTTTGTGAATGTCAGGAAATATTCACACTTGAGGTGTTTCTTTGTTCTCCATTTCTTCATACACTTGACATTATTTTCTAAATCCAAGCTGGATTTCCTGCTTTCATAGGAAATACAGGGGCAGATGTGGGACATGTATGGATACTGAGGCATCTATTTAGCATGTTACCCAGTGTTTCCATTGAAATCCCAGGCCATGATTTGCTTCCCTCCAATGTGCAGGTTCCATGAAAAGTTACATCTCCAGAGGACTTGAAGGGGTGTCATTTCAATGACCACCACAGGAGATTCAGAGATAAACTCCCTACATTGGCTGAATGGTTTCCATACACACACAACAGCTTTCATGAGCAACAATTCTTTCATGTCTAAGGAGAAGAAAATGATAATATCTACTTGGAACTTATTCTTTGGAATGAAGCCCTTAATGACAATCTTTCTCTTTAGGTTCAAATCGCCCTTGATGAGGCCTCCATCACTGAACCAAAATTGAACTCTGAAGACCAGCATGTACTGAAGGAAAGCGTTCCATTTAACATTGAGAAGAAGCAGGTAAAAAAAATTTCTCCTGCCAACTATTTAAATCAGGCAACTGAAGCTCACTACTTCCTTTTTCATTTTTAATTGTAGGGAAATACACATAACCTACAATGCACCATCTTAACCAGCTTCAAGTGCGTGCTTCTGTCACGTTAAATACATTCACATTGCTGGGCAGCCAGTACTTCTCAAATGTCTTTTCCCATGTCTGTCCTAAAGACACGAGGGGGGAAGGCTGAATGTGAGGATACAGAGCTGAGAGCCTTGAGATCTGAAAAATGTAACCTGGAAGGTATGCTGTCTGTTTGGGGCAGAAATCCCCTTCTAGAAGAAATGAGTTTGTAGTGGGAAGGTAAGGAATGGCTCCCAGCTTTCAGGGCTCTTGTCCACTCCCCACGCCCCTGAAAACCAGGACCATGTCCTCAGGCCCATGTGCACACACACAAGGAAGATGAATCCTTTATAGAACGTAAAAGAGACCTTGAACAAAGTTGTCGTGCACTGAGGTCTGCAAAAGCTGGAAAGCAAGCAGAATTGAAACAACTGAAGAAGACTGTAGACCTGTGGAATGCCAAGTATGCAGAAAAGAAGATGGCTGCTGAAGAGTAAGATGTTCATGTGTTAATGTTACAGATACTGTTGTATGAGCGGGTGCATATGTACCTCCCTCTTGTGAGTGCTTTTGTCCCTGTTCCTTAGAGTCTTTTAGGTTTATGTATGATTCCATAGTAAATCAAATGTCAAGTGGAAACCCCTGGAATCAAACCATGAACAATCAGAGGGCCACACTGCAAGTCAAGCTTCCCTAGTCCATTGCCTTTTGCTGCTCAGTAATCTCAGTCTTATTTGAGTAGACTGACACCCTGACATTGATAGTTCTCTATCTGAGTCAGCTTTCTGAAGATAAGACCCTGGCTATGTGACAGTTCACATATTTTCATACTTCAGTAGATATTGCCAACACCAAGTGGACTTTTTCCTTTACCAGGATCTCCAAGGAAGGAGGCAGGGGTTCTGCTCCTACACCCTAGATATCTGGTAGTTACTGGAAGAGGGTTCATGAAGCCACATTCTGGAAGGCTCTCCAGACTCTCTGACTATATCAGGGCACAGCCTTGGACTGAGACTCAGGGCTCCCCATGGAGGCATAAGACTAAGTATGATCCCCTGCTTCATCCTAAATGTGTTTAGCTGTGATGAGTTGGTCAGGCCTGGGGCTCCACATTAAAATGAATGAGCCTTCACAATATGAAATGCAAGAATGACCCCAGAAGGGCACATAGTGCTTTTGTATTCGATGTTTTTATGATGAATGAGGAGGAGCAGATAACAATAAAGAGAAATTCAGGTTGCAGAAGACTTGCCAGCAGGCCAGACATTGGTTTTTCCTTATCTCTGAGTGGGGGGCTTCAATGCATTCCTCTGATTGTGTTGTCAGTCTTCGCATTTATGCAGACCATTGAATTGAGGCCTTCAGATTGCTGAGAGAGAAGAAAGGGAGAATTTCACACTGGCTACTGGACAGGGTATGCATCTATCCCATTTTAGGAAGCTGAAGAAGAAACAAGAGGATATCATAAAAGACAAAACCACATGTCAGCTGCAGATACCAAATTGAATTCGGCAGAGAGAGAGAGAGAGAACAGTACAGGGGAGTTCTGATACTAAAGACCAGCAGCTCCTGAGATCCCTCTTGAGTTTTTTAACATTTGCATGATGTTTATACTCAAATAACATAGTCATATAAACAAATGTTCAGAAGACATATACACAGAATCAACACAAGAAAAACAGTTAAATTTTTCAAAGAATAAGACAATGTGCTGATCCCCAGTGCTGGCTGGACTGTGTGGGAATTTTGTTCACACAATCATCTCTGGGGGTCATATAAATTGTCGTACCTTTGAGAAAGCAGTTTATTGTAAGGTGAATCACATCCATAAATGTAATAGTTCCATTTGATGGGCCTTGCTTTTGCAACCCAGGTTGGAAAGAATATAAGGAATATGAGAATAGAGCATCATGATGAGAGATAATTATCCTGTGACAAATGGGGGAAATGGAAAATGGGGAAGGATATTATAGCAACTCAGAAGGTTGCATGTGTTAAATAATATGTAAGAAAAAGATATAATGATAGTTCTGATCCTACTGTACTTTTAGAATCATGGGAAATACTGCTTCTGTGTGTGGATAAGTTATATTAGGAGACAGATATAAAGAAAATGAGTAGACTATTTAAAATTATACTCAATATTGAGCTTCATTTGATGAAAGCAATTGTCATTTATAGGGAAGAAATAGAGAAAATGAAAAATCATATACGCCAAGCAGACCAGACATTCAATACCAAGGTACATGTCTTCTGCCCAGTAGCTGCAGAGCCCCTCAGCCCTGGGAGCACATGAGAATAATGGTGCTTCGAAGGCCTGAACATAGGGATTGACATGCTAGCAGGTTACCTGCCAAGAAAAATGGGCTCAAGACAACTGGGTGTTTACCCCTCTCCTTCCTTTTGTGTCCTCGCAGCCACCCTGAATGTGCTTGTATTTTTCTTCCACAGACCAACACTCAGATTTTGAGCAGGGTGGTGATTCAGCAGACCAGGGAGATCACCCACTTAAAACTCAGGTACGGGATGTTGACATACATTTCTTAATGGTGCTCTGAAGGAATGAAGGCTAAGCTGTTCAGTGTCTGGTAGAAGACTTGGTAGTGTAATTTCATAGAAATCCATTCTTTCTCCACATTCAATATTACAAAGTCTGGGCAAAGAGAAGCAGGCTGATGGATGCAACAGGCAGACACCATGCCTGGAAGATTTGTAAAGGAGAACCCTGCACATAGAGGTAAGGAGCCTGTGGTGATGTGCCACAGCTTAATTTTGGGCACACAATCACACCATGCCCTTTGTGTTGCTGTGGTCGATCATTGTGGTGCCTGGAAATGATCCTATGTACCTACGAAAGACAACAGATTGTCCCAAGGTGGTGATGGGAAGAGGTTTAGTCCAGTGACCCCAGAATGACTGACTCTGGGCCTGTGCCCTGACTGGGGTAGCTTATGCCCTTCCACTGACTGGGGACATTGCCCCTGTACTACCCCCACACTCCCACCTTGGGTTGCTCTAACGGAAGAGATGTGCCAATGGGGAAGTGGGTCCAAGCTTCCTTCCTCTTTTGGATCCATGGTGAAGACTTTTCTTTTATTTGAGAAAAAAGGTATTAATTTACTATTCCTTGGAGTGGTGGATCTGAGTCCTTCATCTCAGTCCATACAAGTCAGAATAAACCTCCTCCCTTCTTTGACATTTCTCAGGTTCAGGACGCGGTGCCGCTCCTAGGAGCAGCTGCGGCTCCTTCCCGCTTCAGGGTGCCACCAAGAGCAAGGCACGTGCTGAGGCCACTGTCACCTGTGCTGTCCATCTTTTTACACAGACCCTCTCCTGGCCTTGTCTCCGTTTTCTGTGTCCTGTGTTACATCTCGTGTGTCATTTACTGTTCAAATGCACCCGATTCCCCAAGAGCCCACAGGCTCCCCCCTTCCCAGCTCGTCCTCCTTGGAGGCACCTCCAGAAGCCATCAGTGTTTAGAGGCTGGGGCCACAGGGATTGCTGGAGTGTCTGGAAAGAACACGAGGAGGCTGACAGCTACCAGTCCACTCTTCAGTCCCCTGTCCTAACTGACCCCATCCTGACCTTCATGGGGGATTATTGCTTTTCACTCCCGTGCTGTGTAGGCTCAGGTCCTTACCCTGTGTAGCACGGCTGCTGGGGCCTTCATGACTGAACCATGTGAGAAGTCATCCCTCCAACTTTCTTGCTGTGTGCTCTTTGTAATTTCAAATGTCTCCAAGGAAATGTCATTCATCAGTGCCCCATCTCTGGAGGAAAATGTGCTGTACAGGGTCTAATCTGTAAACTATGGGAAGTACTCTGAGTTATCAGGAATGACACATTTCTAGTAGACAATGGACACTGGACTGGAGTAGTGTAGAGGGAAAATCAGCAATTCTCTGCAAGTTCTGTTTCCCAGAAAAAACCCTCACTGTCACAGGAGCAAGTGGCATTGTAATCTGTGTGGTGTTACAGCTGGAACATAGTCTCACACATCCCAGTTTTACACCTGAAATCAAAATACCTGGGGTTAGTTCTGTTCTTCAGATTTCCCACTTGAATTTTCTAAATGAGAAAATTCCCCTGCATCTCTTAGTGTGCTTAAAATCAGAGTTCCCGGGGATGAATGTAAAACTGAGCCTAAGAGACGTTCATAGGAAACACTTTTCCTCTCAGAAACTCCTCTCCATTTCTCCTGCAGGTCTCTAGGAAGCCCACCTGCCCAGAGGACTTTGTGCCCATGAGCAGCTTCCCCAGCAAGTGCAGGCCTGTTATCCAGGGCTGGGAGCAGAGGCTGTGCAGGCAGGCTCTTGCAGGCAGAGCTCTTGCACAGCAATGGCTATGATTCCTTGTGCGAGAATAGAATTTTCATTCCATCTCATTCTCTCTCTTCCTACCATAAAACAACAATCTTCTGTGATTGTGGTACAGGAGGGCTCTCTTGGGGCTGGACACAGATGCCTGCCTGTCGGGAATGTGCTACACTTGCCTAGATTTAGCGTTTCCTGTGTTCATCCTCTAGGATAGGAACCCCACCCTTTCTACATTTGCAGAGAAGGGCACAGACATGTGGTGGCAGGGGCTTGTCCCCCGGCACCTGTTGCTCACATGCTGTAGGCTGTTCCCAGTGGGAGGGTGGTGGGCACCAGTGCTGCGCTTGCGGAACCTGTTTGGGGGAGGGCCAGGTGCTGACACCTGATAACTCTGTTTCAGCTTTGGCTGGTGCTGGTCTTTTGTCTGTCATAGAAGTATCCCTTTCCTTTCTGTTCTTGAAGATCCATATGGATGCAGGAAGACCTCCTTCTTTCCCAAGACCACCCTGCATGCCCTGCCCGATGGGCTGCCCTCCATCACCATTTGTCATCTATGGGCCACGTCCTCCTGCTCCATCCTGGTGTTCTCACTCTCCATTCGCCCCTCCACCATTTGGTAAGGTGACCTCTAGTGGAGGAGGCCACTGAAAAAGCATCATCACCTTTTTTCTTGTTAATGGTAGGGGAAGATGTGGAGGTGGTTCTGTAGGGTTTGCAATACAAGGCTGAGAAATTTGTAACTTTGTTGTGTTGCCCAGGATGTGCACAGAATGGGCTGTGTCCTTTCCCAACAGTGCATCAGACAGCAGGTGCCTCTAGCAGAGAAGGAAAGGGAGTTTTTAGAGAAAGGCAGATACAGCAGGCGTGTAGACGTGCACTGAACAGGAGCCACGTACTGGGCTGCCTGAGGGGTGAGGCTCACTCTGAACTTGAGGAGGTATCATGTCCTAGGGTAGAGAGAGACAAGTCCATTAAATGACACAGAGGCTGTGACACCATAGGAGAAGCAGTGTAGTGGGCCCTGGAGGAGCAGAGAGGGCAACGTGAGTGTTATGGGAATGAAGGGGAGGTTGCAGGTGAGGAGGCAGGCTACTGAGCGCTGGGGAGAGGGCTGGACTGGCATTGAGCTGGAGGCTGATCCTGGAGGCATGTAGGCACTCCAGCAGGATCAGAGAGCAGTGAGGTCCCACAGAGCCACTGTGCATGTTCATGTGATACTGTGTGAACAGAGCCCTTATCCTCATCAAATGTCATTGCTGCCATGAAGCCCTGAACTCACCATCTGCACACAGATCAAGCTACTCCCCTATTTCTGGAGGTCTGGATCTGTAGGAAGCAAGGCCCTGCAGACCTGGGAAGTGCCTCTCGGCTGTCTCACACCGCTCTCTCTGCCCAAGCGTGGTGTTCCCTCTGGGGCGGGAGGTGGACACGGGCCCTAGCTTAAAAGAGCAGCTGCCGTGGCCTCGGCCAAGTCAGACTTGGTGGGGAAAAAGTTGATCAGGAGCCAGCCTGGGGGACCCTCCCACCTCACCCCCGCCTCCCTTAACCATCTCCCTGCTGTCAGCCTGGCTTCTCCGCTGCTTACCGCCCACACCCCGATTCTGGGCCTGCCTTCCTGCTGCCTCAGCCGAACGCCAGGTTTCAGTGGGGCCTTTGGGGCCTCAGCTTTGTTATCTGTAGAACAGGGAGGCTGCTGGTTATCGGAGTCTTTGTGAGGAAGGTAAGAGTCAGTAATACCGTGTCTTGCAACATGGCTGGACGTGTGGGCCACTCATGTGTGGGTCCTTGAGTTTTGCCTTCCCACTGTTGAAATTAAAGTATCTCCACACAGAACATCCTCAAAAGGTGTTTATTGAAGTACATTAACTTAAACTGTGTTCCATTAGCTGTTTCCCACAGATTTTCAATCCCTGTTTCAACAGGTAAGGCGAAGACCTCTCTCCCTTGTGTTAAAATTCAGGTCCTACCAGTTAGAATAGGCAAAGAATTAAGGGAATGTGTGAGTCCCGAGATGTGTGTCTGAAGGCAATGGTTCTCCATTGCATGTAGACATGCAGATGCAGCCACACACTCAAGGCTTTTATCAGGGGCCCAAGATGTAGGAGACAAAAGACAGATGGGAGAAAGTAAGGTCACATTCCTATAAACCAAATTTCTTTAAATTACAGGACTATCGGTTTAAAATGTGAAGAGGACCCTGAGCTGGGTGACCAACAGGCTGTGGTGATGATACATTTAGAAAAGTGTCAGATCTACATTATGGTCTGAACATTTCCCCTGCCAACCCTGCCCTTTCCTCTCTCACCTCCCCTAGTGTGACCCTTAATGAACCATTCCTAGTTCTGTCACTGTGTCAGTGTCTGCCTCCAGGACCAGCTGTCACTCTGCTTGGAGTGTATACAATGTGACCCATGTACATGACTTTACAAATAGGCAGAAAGAGCTGTCATAGTGTGGAAGCAGGTTATTCTCTGGCAAAGTTCTGCTGAAAGGGGCTCAAAAAATCCTTCTGGGATGCTGGGTACATCCTATAGGTGGACCTGGGCATGGTAGTGTTCATTCAGTCCATTATTCTTGGTGAGCCTTGGTGTCTGCCAGTCACAGGGGAGTGGTGATCAGGGAACCAGGCGCCTGTCCCCAGGAAGTGACCAATTGCTGAGTGAAGAGGGACTGAACATGGCTCCAGAAGACCTGTGCTTGGTGCCTCCCCCAGTAGTACCAAGTCCAGGCCAGCTCTGAGGGGGGCTGATGGAAGCAGTTGTCTTGGTAAATCCCATGAGCTCTCATAATCCTGCCACAGTTTCCTTATGAGGAATGGATAGTGCAGAGGTGCATGGTGTCAACTCCCCAAACAGACACACCAAGTCAAGGGAGTTTGGAGAAGGCAGTATCCGGTGCTCTCCAGCTGCCTCAATCCAAACAGTTCTGCCCCTGGAGTCTGCAGGACCTTCCCTGCTGCCTGGAGGGGGTGGGGCCAGATCAACATCAGCTCTGGGGTCCAGTCTGTTCTACCAGTGGCTCAAGGTCTGACTGCCCACAGGTTGCCCAGGAGTGTCTGGGAACAGCAATGGTGCAGCTAATATCAGCATGAGCAGCCTCTGCAAATGTTTGTCATATGCTGTCATCAGAGCCTGGGCCATACTGTGGCAGGAAGGGGGTGGGTGCTTGGGGAGGTGGTGTCCTGTGGTCCTGGACTGGGCAGGAGCAGAGCAGCCGGCCTGAGATCCTGGAAGAGACACTGGAAAAGAGACAGGCATGGAGAGAGATGGTGAGACAGTGCCTGTGGAGTGGCAAGTCTGAAGGAGTGGCTGGAGGAAGCCGAGGAGGAGGGGCAAGAGGGAGCAAGGAGGTAAGGGGCAGCCGGTGGGGACGTCCACATGGAGCACCAGCGATGAGAACAGAGGCCTGTGGCAGAGGGACAAAAATGTGGGCTGCTTAGCTGGCACCTGCGTAAAGTTGTGTCTGAGCCTTGCAGAGCTGGCTGCTCCCAGGGCACAAGAAACAAAGGAGGGGAGGCCACAAGGGGATCTAAAATAGTGCAGTAAGAGATTTCTGTCTCAAGCCTACTTCCAAATAGAGAACAGAGGCATTCTCATTAGCCTTTAGGAAGAATTTGTGAGGATTTGATGAAGTTCATGTTAATATGTTGATGGAGAAATCCTTTGGAAAGAACAAGTATTTGTGGTGAAATCGGTATTTAAATGCTTCTCTCTGTAAAACTTAAATGAACCTATTTTGTCTTTCAAAACAATAGAGTAAAATGATCCTATTAGCCCATGATGGAGCACCCCCACTGGACAAGCTCTTCCAATGAAAATGGCTATAAAAGCTGAAAGAGAACATAAGCCCTGAGTGGAGGCACCGGAAGAAAACAGTCACACCCTGAGAAAGGGAAGCCCAGGCCACACAGCCTTCTTTCTCCTCTGTGGCATCTGCCAGGTCCCTAGATGGGAGACCTGATTTCAGACAGAAATGGGATGTGCTGGGTTGAGGGTAAGGATGTTGCCATTTGATCCTAGCAAAGATGGGCCTTCTGCTTCCAGGTGGGCTGTTGTAAGTAGGACCATGGTATCAGGTAGAAAAAAGGCAACACCACCAAACTTGTATGTTTGAGAACATGAGAGAGCTGTGGAGGTGAAGAGGACTGGCTGGACTACAGTGTCAGAGGGAGAAGAGCTGTAGCTCTGTGAAAGGGGGTCACCAGGCCTTCCATGCTTGGGGGATTGTCTGTGCACAGAGACAATCAGGTCTGCCTAGGCAGAGGTAGCCCACCAGGAGAGTATCAGAGCAGGAGGGCTTTGGGTGTTGGTTGGAGGGATGGGGTGGGATCCAGAGGAGTCCCTAGCACATTATAGGATTCCCCTCAGGACATTAACTCCATCCTGGGAAATAAGGGCGAATGGCCATGGAAACCACCTGCTGTCCCAGAAGAGCTCTGACTATAGCGAGAGCCTCCAAGAAACACAGTGGACACGAGAGTACTGGGGGCCAGCGGTGGGCTGACTCTGAGTTGAAACCAACCCCTCCAATTGGCTCCATGTCTGATTGTAAAGAGGTGAAGAGGTATGTACCTGCCTAAAAGACGGAAGGGCTAATCTTCTCAGGGAGGCATCGAATGAAGTGTCTACTTGTGAGCAGGATGCTGGCCCTAAAGCCGATCCCAGCCACAGGGATGAGAGAAGAGCAGCAACCCACCCTCTGATAATAACAAAGTTTACCTTTCAGAAGATGGGGGAATTCCCTGCACACATATGCTCATGTTGTCAGCTAGCCAGCCACCAGCCAGCCTGTGTCCCTTTGATGTCCCTCATGAGAACAGGCAGAGCACTGTGTCTGCTACATGATTAAAGATATAATCCCATGCAAAGTACAGGGCCTGCGATCAATAGTAAAGAACAGAACAACAAACCCTCATACAGGCCCATGTGGAACAAGGTATTGGAGATGGATGAAAAGGAATTTTAAAATGTGTTAAAGGAAATGTTTGGAAATTAAAAGTAGACAATCAGAGTTGAAGAACTCGAAAGATGAGTTTGACTGACTTGATCCCTGAAGGACTTACTGGTAGGCTTGAATACAAGTAGAAAAAATCACAAACAAAGTGAAAAATATTGGAAAGGACAAAGAAGGTTTACAAGTAATTAGAATCAATGGACTGACATAGTCACGTGTCTCTCCAGGACTCTGTTTTTCTCCTTGTGAAACACCGATGAGACTGTCCTCCGTGCTGCTTCCCCGAAGGACAGGGCTGTGCCTCTCCCACTGGGAGCCCTCTGCATGAGCATGCGGGTCCAGCCTGCACCCCTCTTGTGGATGGGGTGGGGATTTTGAATGAAATGTCTCAGAAATTTAGGAAAGGCTTGATTCTCATGTCTCCTCCCTCCTCCTTGAGCTTTGCCTGCTCAGTGCCATGCCATTTCCTAGGAGGGGAAGTCAGAGGAAGGAAGGTGATGTGTGCTAGTTGGCCACACAGCCATGGCTGTGTTGAGTGGGATTTCCCGTTATTTTAAGTGTGAACTTTATTGTTTCAGGAAGGTACATTGCTTTCTATCTCTTTACCATCACCAGGCCAGGACCTTCTTGTCCTGACCACGTCGTGTCCATGGCATCCCCAGTTGTGCCCTGCCTGATCTCTGTGTTTCCTCCTCTCCCAGAGACTCGGTCAGCATCACGTCCTGCCCAGCACACTCACTCATGTGGAGCAGCCTTCAGAAGGCTGTGTATTAAGAAGGTGAGAGATGTGCTTTTCTCACTAACTACCAGTTCTCTGGGGGCAGAGAATTCAGGCATTAACCAAAGGAGGGCTGCAGTGTTCTTAAGCATGCGGGGATCACAGGTGGTAGAGGTGAGTAAGAAAGCAGCAATGCTCAGTCTCTTGTAGGCTGCAGGCAAACAAGCAGTGAGTTTAATCCAGTGCTGCATGTGGTGGGATTGTTGAGATGCAGGGGTGTGTAGAGGACAGGAGAGGCAGCCGAGCTTCCATGGTGCTGGATTGGATAGAAGAGCCAGGACTCAGTTACCATTTTCATTGTATCTGGAATTACATTTTTCATAGGTCATGAGCTAATTTATCAAGTACTTTTTGAGGTTACAGACCATTGGACATCCTCTGTCTGGAATCATTTGTCCTAATCTAAGTCTCAGCACACATTTTATACTTAGAGATACCTGGGTTGAAGACCACCATACAGAAAGACCCTGGCACAGCATTTCCAATTACAACAACTGTCTCCTTGCCCTCATTACAACTTACCTATTTTCTTCACTTTTAACATCACAATCTTCATTTGTTGTATTTGATAGTTTCCTTGTTTGAATGCTTCCCTTCACTAGTTGGGGGCTCTTTGGGTTGGAGCAGGTTGCCATTTACCATTTATCTCCAAGAATGAGATCAAGATCTGGAACATTGTTAGATGAATGATTGCATGATTGAGTGAATACAGGGATGTAGATTCCTCATGCTATTCTTAGTAGTATGTTCCAGTGATTCCTACACAGCTGGGGGTCACATTTTCCTGGAGATTCTGAGAAATGGTGTGGAGTTAGCACCAAGTGAAGTGTGCACGTATATACACACTCAACCCTGCTACAGACAACATCAAGTATTCTGCTATGCCTTTAAAGGCTTTGGGCAAAAAAGTTACCTGTGAAGTCGACTCAGCACTGAGAAAACTCCCAGCTGGCGAAAACAAAGGAAGCTTTTCCACTGGTCCTTGAGGGAGTCTGCAGACAAGTTGAAACCCACAGTCAAAAGTATTTGAGAATATGGTCCATGTTGCTCCCTCTGGCACTAGCAATGTGTGCCAGGATATTGGATTACTACGCCCACTGCCCATCTGGGGGCATATGCAGTAAGTTAACCTCAGATGTATAGGTCCCTCCAGGCTTGCACTCTGATCCTCTCATGTATATGACGACAAACACATTATGGCAACTTTTAAAATACGCTCTGCTGATCAAGAGGGTAACACTAGAGAACCTGTCTAGTGTGGAGACAGTTCTGTGTCTTCTAACCTTAATAAAAATGTTTCATTGTAACAAAGAAGGAATGATAAATTTTTAAAAATAGTGTAGATGTGTCACTTTTTAATTTCACCCAAATGTTTTGTTGGGTAAACACAATGATCTGTTGCTTAGCCTGTGGAAAGGAGTTATAAGACCAGTGCTTAGGGACTACAAATTATGCAAATACACTAATAAACTCTGTTTCACCCAACACTGAGAAACATTTTTGTTGTTGTGACTCCCAGGCCCTGGCACTAAGACCTGACCCAGTAGCGAGAACCAGCTTGGCTGGACCAAGCGCCTACAGCGGCACCCGGAGAGGGCCCACACAGCATTGAGCATTGCAGGGATTCCCCGGATGGCCAGGAGGGGGCGCACGGTCACCACTCACTGGGAGTCGGCCGGTTGTGGTCGTGCGCAGCGGCGGCCTGCAAGGAGTGCCAGCACGCGGCATTTCTGACCAAGTGGCACCTCAAAACCCAGAGAGCGCCTGCGTTCCAGCCCAAAGGGCCTGGTGGCAGTTTCAGCCGTCAGATCAGCAGCTGCATATGCAGCAGGTTTCATCGCCTGTGGGAGACACTGCAGACCCTTTGGACCAACTTGGCGTCTCCCAACCGGGGAGTAAGAAGCTTCCTTTGTGGGCAGAGTCCTGGGGAGGGAACATAACGGAGCTTCTCCAGGACATGGTTGTCAAAGGGCCTCCCAGGACGTTGCATTTTTGGGGTTGTTCCTATAATTTTATACATTTCAAAATGTATTTTTTGAATACATTTGAAATGTATTTTACTAACTCACATATCCATGGATTGGGTTGTTTGCAGACTGTAAATCATTGATGTTGTGGGTTTCCTTTTTACAGATTCAGGATTGTTTCTGCACAGGAATTCAGCACAAATGTAGAGAAAACACGGATTCAGTTGGGACCAGAATACAGCTGGGGACCCATTTCTCAAGCCCTGTTGGAATCAGAGTCTGAAGTAAAAAGGAAAAATGCACTCCAGTTCATACATGCTTTTTATTAACTCTTAATGGTTGATCTTTCCAACAATGTGGAAGTCGTCAAAAAAATACTGAAGACCTGACAAGTAAGTGGAATGAAACTTACATTATTTTCAACTTCAATGTTTCATTTATACCCAAAGAAACATTTATTACTATAAGTTTACTTTCCTATCTTCAGTGGAAGCAATCAATAATTTCTTTAAAATGTTATTTGTTACTTTGTCTCATTTCAGTTGAGAAATTTGTCATGTTTTAGAGTTCCTCCTGATCTAGAGATGACCTGAAATAATTTTAAATGGGTTTCACTTCATTTAGGCACATAAGTTCACTCTCCCAGTCCCCTCTTCCCAGAACATTACCTTGGCCTCTTATATTTCTGGGGCACCCTGATTGATGGACTTCCCCACATGCAACCTTGTCAAAAAGAGTTGCCCGAGTAGAGTTTGTTGAATGCTACTGCCACCTCATGGTCACATCCTTTCCCTTCAATCTGACAACTCCTGAAATCATCCATCCATCCACTATTTGAATATGTTTTTGAATTGGAAATACTTGATTCTGTTGGATTACTGCTCAAAAGTAGTATGCACGAGAAGAAAATAAAAACATGGATTCTTTGACAAAAAGGGGACATTCACAATGAATGTCCTGACCATTTGTATATTTTATGAAAATGTTTGGCCATGCTATGAAATACATCCTCTAAAGTCTGAGTATTGTCCATGATCTCAGATGATAAACTTTATATACAGTCAATGAATGACACACCCATTCAAGATCAGAAAAACCACACAATTATATAACATATAATATAATGTTACTTACATATTGCTATCTTAACCTAAACTATGGAAGATAGATGTTGCTGTGAATTATATATTACTCTGCATTACTCAACTTTCTGTATCATAAGTGCTTGTACTTAAAACAACAGTAAGAAAAATAAGAACAATTAAGTGTCAATCACTAGTACCTAACAGGACTACTTAGGTACTATGTTAGGAAAAATAAAACTGATATTAACAAATTTTAATTTTAAAATAGGTTGAGATTTACAAAGCTAAAATTTGGGGAGCTAGTACTGATCATTTCCACCTGCCTAAGACTCAGTTTGCCCGATTACTGTCATATGAGTTAGTATGCTATCTCACAATTAATAGCAGTAAATACTGCAGTCAGATCTCCATCACTGGTCAGTAGAGAGGCCTCGGAAGTTGGGCATTTTTATCCTGAGTTCCATTTCCATCACCATTTGCAGTTTTATGGCTTTAGAGGGATTTAGAAAACCAGCTCTGTATCATAGTAGTCCATGGGACTTCTGTGCCTGACATAGCTTGGACTTTCCTTTGGAGGTCCTGGAGTGATCAGAGACATTTTGTGAATAATTTGGAATGCACACACAACACTCAACTTTAATTATAGCACAGGTCCCACTCTGTGCTGCTGTTAAGATGTCTAGTGCCATTCTATTTTGTATAACTGCTTGGCACATTAGTTTAACTTTAGTATTAAGGCCTTTTGAGTAAAATTGGTTAAGCATTTGATATGCGAAATTACATCTTCTAAACCAAGAGATGGTATAAAAATGGAGGTTAAGTGATCATACCAATGAAAAACACTCCTAGTCCATTGATGTTGGAGGCTTGGGAGTTTTGCAGGGTGTGGGATGTTCTTAGCCCAACATCCTTGCAACCAAGGAAATACCAGAGTGCACCTCCCTATCCACCCTGGAGGGAGCCACAGCCAGAGATTAGTTCCACATAGCCAGTAAGTACCATTTGGGGCTGGCTAACGGTACCAGGGTGGGTTGTCCAATATGTGGCAAGCCAATCTGTAGCCTGTAAAGTTATTGTATGTGAACAGTGGTCTTTGGGAAGCCAGCCTAAATATCGGGTGAAGCTTTGGCAATGGTTATTAGAATGGTTTCTTTGTTCCCAGCAGAGGGGAGCCTTTTGATTTAAGTGTCCTGCCTTGGAGTAACCCAGATGTGCTCATCCCAGATTTGAAAAAAAACTACTTTCGTATCTGTGATTATTTGCATGGAGAATTATCACATTGGAGGCATTTTGCAGTTGAGGTAGAGCTAAAATAGTAGTTAAATATAGCATCATAGGAGAAGGGGAATTTATGCCCGTTAACTTATTGAGACTTTAGGCATGAGAAACTGTTTTGATAAAACAATTAGAAAACCCTTTGGAATCTTTCAATATTAAGCACAGGCTAATAGTTTAAGAAAACTTCTTCCTTTTAACAAACAAAACAAAATTCTAATTTTGTTGTGTACTTGATATCAAGACTCATTTGCTTTAGTTTCACAGAGCATGACCATATCAATTCTTCCACAAACTTTCTACATCTTTCTTTTTTTACATTCAGAGTTCTCCCTCTTTAAATAACCAGCTGTACTTTAGTACAAAGTTACCTTCTTTTACCCTTAATAAAATGCATTTCATTTCAGTTATTTTTTTTTAAGAAATACTCCAAACTGAAAGGCTTTTGGCGACTCCAAAGGAGGACTATGGCTGGCACATAAATTGTGTCTTTCCAGTTTACGCTTCATGAAGACCCAGGAACTCTCTGGAGGATGATGGGGGATCTCCTGGTAACCAAGACTTGAGTCCTACTTCTAACAACCACTTGTGTAACATTACATTTTTTCAATCTGCCATGAAATATTTCTGTGAAATAACTTTTAAAGTATTAAGAATTTACTGGCACTAACTGAGGCTTGTTATATTTTTAATTCAAATTTGAATCAGAATCCAAGAAGGAAGTTTTTTTTTTTTGGTGGGAAGTCATTTTGAAAACCAATATAGTAGTATGAATGCATTTAAAACATTGTGGCTTTTATTGGTTTCATGGGTATGAAAGAAGGGCACTGGGCTGAAATGAAAGGTTTGATTTATAGGCTGGTTCTATTTATTACCTTTATGTAAAGCCTTCTATAAGCCATTATCACCTACTGTTTTTGACCAGAAGTATGGCCAGTACAGTAGCTATTAGCCACGTGCAATTACTGAAAGGTAGCTCTCTGATCAGAGCTGTGCTGTTAAGTGTAAAATATACCCCAGCTTTTTAGCACTTTGTATGAAAAATGTAAAATGCCCTAATAGTTTTAATATTACATGTTGAAATATTTTCATTTGTACATATTGGGCTAATTAAAATATATTAAATTAATTTTGCTTTTTAGCTTTTTAATAACCAGGGCACTTAAAATTATATATATGATTTGCATTTGTGGGTAAAATGTTTGGTAGAGCTCAACCAGTGAACCCATCTAGGCCTGGTGCTTTCTGTTTTGGAAGGTTATTCATTTCTGACTTAATTTCTTTAATAGATATAGGCTTATTTAGATTTCATATTTGTTCTTATGTAAGTTTGACAGATTGTGTCTGAACAAGTTGGTCCACTTCACCTAGATTATCAAATTTGTGGGCCAGAGTTATTCATTGTATTCCCTTATTATTATTTTAATGCCCATGTGGTCTGTAGTGAAGTTCTAATATGTTTTTTCTTTGTTGACTGTATGTTTGGTGTCATAGCCAAGAAATCGTAGCCAGATGCAAAGTCATGAAGTTTTGCTTATGTTTTTTTCTAACAGTTTTATAGTTTAGATCTTACATTTAAGTCTTTGATCCATTTTAAGTTAATTTTTGTATATGATGTTAAATGAGGGCCCAAATTCATTCTTTTGCATGTGTATATACAATATTCCCAGCACCACTGGAAATTTCCCCATTGAATGTTCTTGGCACCCTTGCCAAAAACCATTTGATGATATATGTTGAGGTTTATTTCTGGGCTTTCTAGTTTATTACATTGGTCTGTATGTCTCTCTTTTGCCACTACCATACTGTTTTGGTTACTGTAGCTTTGTAGTGAGATTTGTAATTAGGAAGTGTGAGTCCTCAAGCTATGTTCTTTTTCAAGATTTTTTTGGGTATTTGGAGTCCCTTGAGAGTCTGTATGAATTTCAGGATGTATTTTTCTATTTCTGTAAAAAACATCATTGGTACTTTGATAGGGATTGCGTTGAATATGCAGATTGTGTTGGGTAGTATTAACATCTCTACAATACTAAGTCTTCCAATCCATGAACATAGGGTGGTTCCATTTAGTTATGTCCTTAATTTACTTTGGCAATACTTTGTAGCTTTCATTATACAGATCTTTCATCTCCTTTGTTACTCTGAAATATTTTGTTCTCTTTGATGCTATTGTAAGTGGAATAGTTTTGTGATTCCCTTTTCAAATTGTTGCTAGTATATAGAAATGTAGCTGTCTTTTTTGTGTTGACTTTTATCCTGCTTTGCTGAATTTATTGGTTTTTTTTGTAGACTCTTGAGGGTTTGTACATATAAGATCATATCATTTGTGAATAGATATAATTTTACTTCTTCCTTTCCAGTTTGAAGATCTTTTATTTTTCTTGTGTAATTGCTGTAGGTAGAACTTCCAATATTATCTTGAGTAGAAGTGGCAAAAGTGGGCATCCTTGTTTTGTTCCTGACCAGTGCTCACAAGAGATACTGGCCTGTTGTTTCTGTCAGCATCTTCTTCTGGCTTTGGTATCAGGATAATGCTGGCCTCATAGAATGAGTTGGGAATATTGGAAAAGTTTGAGAAGGATCAGTATTAACTTTTCTTTAAATATTTGGTAGCATGAACCAGTGAACACATAATTTCATTTGTTGGGATATTTGTGGTTACCGATCCAACCTCCTTACTAGTTATAGTTCCATTCAGATTGTCTGTTTTCTTCATGATTTAGTCTTGGGTGGATTTTGAGTTTCTAGGAATTTATCTATTTCATCTAGTTTATCCAGTTTGTTGGTGTGCAGTTGTTCGTAGTACCCTCTTATAATCTTTTTTATTTCAGCAGAATCAGTACTAATGTTCTTATTTTCATTTTTGATTTTAGTAATTGGTGTCTTCTTTTTTTCTTGTCCATCAAGGTAAAAGTTTGTCAACATTGCTCATCTTTTCAAAAACCCCAGCTTTGGTTTTCATTTTCTCTATTGTTTCTCTATTTACTATTCTGTTTATTTTTGATATAATCATTATTATTTCTTTCTGTTGGGTTTGGGTTTAGTTTGTTCTTTTATTAGTCCCTTAAGTTATAAAATTAGGTTGTTGATTTGAGGTATCTTGTATTTTAATGGAAGGGCTTGGCAATGGGTTTGTCATATATGGCCTCTGTTATGTTGAGGTACTTGCCCTCTGAACTCATTTGTTGAGAGTTTTTATTACAAATGGCTGTTGACTTTTGTCAAATGCTTTTTCTGCATCTATGGAGATGATCATGTGGTTTTGGTCCTTCTTTTTGTTGATGTGGTGGATGATGTTGAGCTATACTGGTGAGTGCCTGCATGTCTACACTGGCTCCTCATCTCAGTGGTCATACCTTCCTCATGCAGAGGGCACAGATACTGCAGTGCTTTCTTCTCCAGTGGGAAGAAAACAATAGGCAGTCTACATTTAACTTTTTTTTTATAGGGATCCAATCACTATCTTTTTCTTATTAAGGTATCAATGATAAACACTCTTATGAAGGTTTCACAAGAAAAACAATGTGGTTATTACATTAACCCTTATTATGGAGTCCCCCACTTACTCCACTGCAGTCACTGTCCATCAGTGTAGTAAGGTACCACAGAGTCCCTATTTGTTTTCTCTGTGCTACACTGTCTTCCCCGTGACCCCACACACACCATGTGCACCAATCATGATACCCCACAATCCCCTTCTCCCTCCCTCCCCACATGCACTCCTATACCCCTCCCCTTTGGTAACCGCTAGTCCCTTCTTGGAGTCTGTGAGTCTGCTGCCATTTTGTTCCTTCAGTTTTGCTTCATTGTTACCCTCAACAAATGAGGGAAATATGTGGTATTTGTCTTTCTATGCCTGACTTATTTCACTGAGCAAAATACCCTATTGCGCCATCCATGTTGTTGCAAATAGTAGGATTTGTTTTTTTCTTATGGCTGAATAGTATTCCATTGTGTATATGTACCACATCTTCTTTATCCATTCATCTACTGATGGACACTTAGGTCGCTTCCATATCTTGGCTTTGTAAATAGTGCTGTGATAAACATAGAGCTGCATATGTCTTTTTAAATGTGAGAAGTTGTTTTCTTTGGGTAAATTCCTAGGAGTAGAATTCCAGGGTCAAATGGTATTTCTATTTTGAGTTTTTTGAGGAACCTCCATATTGCTTTCCACAACGGTTGAACTAGTTTACATCCCACCAACAGTGTAGGAGGGTTTTCCTTTCTCTGCATCCTCATCAGCATTTATTGTTCCAAGTTTTTTCTATGTTGACCATCCTAACTGGTGTGAGGTGATATCTCATTGTGGTTTTAATTTGCATTTCCCTGATAATTAGCAATGCGGAGCATCTTTTCATGTGCCTGTTAGCCATCTGAATTTCTTCTTTGGAGAAGTGTCTGTTCAGATCTTCAGCCCACTTTTTAATCGGGTTATTTGCTTTTTGGGTGTTGAGGCATGTGAGTTCTTTATATATTTTGGATGTTAACCCCTTGTTGGATATGTCATTTACAAATATATTCTCCCATACTGTAGGATGCCTTTTTGTTCAGCTGATGGTGTCCTTTGCTGTATAGAAACTTTCTAGTTTGATGTAGTCCCATTTGTTCATTTTTAATTTTGTTTCCCATGCCCGAGGAGATGCATTCAGGAAAAAGTTGCTCATGTTTACATTCAAGAGATTTTTGCCTATGTTTTCTACTAAGAGGTTTATGGTTTCATGACTTGTATTCAGGTCTTTGATCCATTTTGAGGTGACTTTTCTGTATGGGGTTAGACAGTATTCCAGTTTCATTCTCTAACATGTAGATGTCAAGTTTTACCAACACCAGTTGCTAAAGAGGCTGTCATTTCCCCATTGTGTACCTGGGCTCCCAAGTCTGTTCCATTGGTCTATGGATTTGTTCTTGTGTCAGTACCAAATTGTCTTGATTACTGTAGCTTTGTAGCTTGAAGTTGGGGAACATAATCCCCTGAGCTTTTCTTCTTCCTTCTCAGGATTACTTTGACTATTTGGGGTCTTTTGTGGTTCCATATGATTTTTAGAACTATGTGCTCTAGTTCATTGAAGAATGATGTTGGTATTTTGATAGGGATTACATTGAATTTATAGATTGCTTTAGGCAGGATGGCCATTTTTACAACACGAATTCTTCCTATCCATGAGCACAGGATGTGTTTCCATTTATTGGCATCTTCTTTAATTTCTCTCATGAGTGTCTTGTAGTTTTCAGTGTTTAGGTCTTTAACTTCCTTGGTTAGGTTTTATTCCTAGGAATTTTATTCTTTTTGATGCAATCGTGAATGGAATTGTTTTCCTGATTTCTCTTTCTGCTAGTTCATCATTAGTGTATAGGAATACAACAGATTTCTGTGTATTAATTTTGCATCCTGCAACTTTGCTGAATTCAGGTATTAGATCTAGTAGTTTTGGAGTGGATTCTTTAGGGTTTTCTATGTACAATATCATGTCATCTGCACACAGTGACAGTTTAACTTCTTCCTTCCCCATCTAGATTCCTTTTATTTCTTTGTGTTGTCTGATTGCCGTGGCTAGGACCTCCAGAACTATGTTGAATAAAAGTGGGGAGAGTGGGCATCTTGTCTTGTTCCTGATCTTATAGGAAAAGCTTTCAGCTTCTTGCTTTTAAGTATGATTTTGGCAACGGGTTTGTCATATATAGCATCTGTTATGTTGAGGTACTTGCCCTCTGAACCCATTTTATTGAGAGTTTTTATCACGAATGGCTATTGAATCTTGTCAAATGCTTTTTCTGCATCTATGGAGATGATCATGTGGTTTTTGTCCTTCTTTTTGTTGATGTGGTGGATGATGTTGATGGATTTTCAAATATTGTACCATCTTTGCATCCCTCGAATAAATCCTATTGATTCTTTCTATCATATTATTCTTCTCAATTTTATTTATTTCTGCTCTAATCTTTATTATGTCCCTTCTTCTACTGACTTTGGGCCTCATTTGTTCTTCTTTTTCTAGTTTCGTTAATTGTGAATTTAGACAGTTCATATGTGACTATTCTTCTTTCCTGAGGTAGGCCTGTATTGCAATATACTTCCCTCTTAGCATGGCCTTCGCTG